GGAAAGAATTACCTCCGTCATCGGCGGCTGCGAACATTTTGCGCGGAAAGGGCTCGCGTGCTCGACGCCCGAGCCCGAGCTCCGAAGCGGCGCCTTCCGCCTCCGCGTGGGCGATGAAATTCGTTTGGCGGCGGAGCCGGTGAGAACCCAAAAGGGACGGCGGCTGTCACGCAGAACGGACGATAGATAGATCGACGTTGCCCTCCACAGAACGGGTCACGCCTGAGCTGGCATGCGCTTCTCTCTCCTTCATATACCGCGAGCACTTGGCAGACAGGTCACCGTCCCCGCGACCCGCCCTTGCCTCACCGCTTTGACCCGTCTCTCCCCCTCTCGCTCCATCACCACCATGTCAGAAACGGCGGAGGACATCAACCAGCCGCCACCCGCCGCACTCAAGGACACCTCCCTCCACGCAAAAATCATCGACGGCACCGCTCTCTCAAAGTACGTCCAAAACTCGCACGACCACACGCATACATGCTCATCTCATCCCAACCAGGTCCATCGTCGCCAGTGTCGTCTCCCGCGTCCAGCAGAGGCAGGCCAGGTACCCCGCCTTCAAGCCCCATCTCGTCATCGTCCAGCGCGGCGGCCGCGCCGACTCCAACGTCTATGTCCGCATGAAGGCAAAGGCAGCGGCCGAGTGCGGCTTCGGCTTCACCCACGTCCACCTCCCGGCCGATGCGACCGAGGCGGTCGTCACCGCAGAGGTCGTCAAGCTCAACGCGGACCCCAAGGTGTCCGGCATCCTCGTCCAGCTTCCGCTCGGTGAGGGCATCGACGCCGAGGGCGAGCGCCGCGTCACCGAGGCCATCGCACCCGCCAAGGACGTCGATGGCTTCCATGCGTACAACATCGGCAAGCTGGCCTCGCGCGCGTCCGACCCGCTCTTCCTCCCCTGCACCCCGGCCGGTGTCATGCGCCTGCTCGATGAGGCAAAGGTCGAGATCGCGGGTTCTCGCGCCGTGGTCCTCGGACGTAGCGACATCGTTGGCAGCCCTGTGGCAGCCCTCCTCAGGCGTCGCGATGCCACTGTGACACAGTGCCATAGTCGCACCAAGGGACTCGAGTCGATCGTATGTACCTTCTTGGCACTTCAAAGGCTATTCATTGAGCAAGAATGTCGTGTCTAGATCAAGGAAGCCGATATCCTCATCTGCGCCATTGGCAAGGCCGAGTTCGTCCGCGGCGAGTGGCTCAAGCCTGGTGTCGCCGTCATTGACGTTGGGACGAACTATATCCCTGGTGAGCGTGAGCACTTCACTCCACTGCTTCTTTCTTCTGACAGGATCTCGTGGCTTCCAGATGCTACCAAGAAGTCGGGCCAGCGCCTCGTCGGCGACGCCGACTTCGCTTCCTGCGCCGCTGTCGCCGGCTACATCACCCCCGTTCCCGGAGGAGTCGGACCTATGACCGTGGCCATGCTGATGGACAACACGCTCCGTGGTGCCGAGCGCCAGTGGGAGGAAGAGCGCGACCGCAAGGTCATCCCCCTCCCCCTCGACATCCTCGAGAAGGTCCCCAGCGACATCGAGATCGCCATGGCGCAGACGCCTAAGCAGATCACGCAGCTCGCTTCTGAGATCGGCGTGCTCACGACTGAGCTCGAGCCCTACGGCTCGTACAAGGCCAAGATCGACCTGTCCATCCTGGACCGTCTCGCCTCCCGCAAGAACGGCAAGTATGTCATTGTCGCTGGTATCACCCCCACCCCTCTCGGTGAGGGCAAGAGCACCACGACCATCGGTCTCGCGCAGGCGATTGGCGCGCATCTCGGGAAGCCCGCCTTTGCCTGCGTGCGCCAGCCCAGTCAGGGTCCAACGTTCGGTATCAAGGGTGGAGCGGCTGGTGGAGGGTACTCCCAGGTCATCCCTATGGACGAGGTGGGTGGACTCTCCACATTGTCCGCGCCGACACCGTACTGACAGCCTCCTCCTCCTCCAGTTCAATCTCCACTTGACCGGTGACATCCACGCCGTGACAGCCGCGAACAACCTCCTTGCCGCTGCCCTTGATGCGCGCATGTTCCACGAGGCGACCACGCCCGACAAGTCCCTGTTCACGCGTCTCGTGCCCGCCAAGAAGGGCAAGCGCGAGTTTGCCCCGCTCATGCTCAAGCGCCTCGAGAAGCTTGGCATCAACAAGACCGACCCGAATGAGCTGACGCCCGAGGAGGCGCGCCGCTTCTCTCGCCTGGACCTCGACCCTGAGACGATCACCTGGAACCGTGTGCTCGATGTGAACGATCGGTTCCTGCGTAAGATCAAGATCGGCATGGCCGACACGGAGAAGGGCTTTGAGCGCATCACCGCCTTCGACATCAGTGTCGCCTCCGAGACCATGGCCGTCTTGGCTCTTACGACTGACCTTGCGGACATGCGCGACCGTCTGGGCAAGATGGTCGTTGGCACGAGCAAGCATGGAGATGCCGTCACCGCTGACGACATTGGTGTCAGCGGAGCGCTCACCGTACTCATGAAGGACGCCATCAAGCCGAACATGATGCAGACGCTCGAGGGCACCCCCGTGTTCGTCCACGCTGGTCCCTTCGCCAACATCGCCCACGGCAACTCCTCCATCATTGCTGACCGCGTTGCTCTCAAGCTCGCCGGTATCGACGAGGGCGACGACCCGTCCCGCGTCGGCTACGTCTTCACCGAGGGTGGGTTCGGTGCCGACATGGGTCTTGAGAAGTTCTGCAACATCAAGTGCCGTGTTAGCGGGCTCGTTCCTGACGCAGCCGTCATTGTTGCCACCACGCGTGCGCTCAAGATGCATGGTGGTGGACCTGAGGTCGTCCCCGGCAAGCCGCTGGCCGAGACCTACACCAAGGAGAACCTGGAGACCCTCCGTGAGGGCACCAAGAACCTCGGCAAGCACATCCAGAACACCAAGAAGTTCGGCATCAAGGTCATCGTTGCTATCAACCAGTTCACGTGAGTATTGACCAAGAAATTATAGTCATAGTGCTGACGCAAAATGCAGCACCGATACCCCTGCTGAAATTGAGCTCGTGCGCAAGGCTGCTCTGGAATTCGGTGCTGATGCGGCTGTAGCCAGCAATCACTGGGCGAAGGGTGGCGAGGGCGCCCTCGAGCTGGCCAAGGCTGTCGTGGATGCTTGCGAGTCCGGCGAGCCGGACTTCAAGTTCACCTACCCGCTCAACATTCCTATTGCGGCCAAGATCGAGGCCATCTGCAAGGATGTCTATGGTGCGGATGGTATCGAGCTCAGTGAGCAGGCTCAGAAGCAGATCGAGACGTACACCGCTCAGGGATACGGTGACTTGCCGAGTAAGCCGCGTTCCAGGTCATCTTTCCGCGCATATCTGACCACGAGTTTATCAGTCTGCATGGCCAAGACGCAGTACTCCTTCTCTCACGATCCCAAGCTGAAGAACGTGCCCACTGGCTTCACGGTGCCCATCAAGTCGATCCGTCTTTCCGCTGGCGCGGGCTTCCTCTACCCTCTCCTCGGAGACATGCAGACCATGCCCGGTCTTGGAACGAGACCCGGCTTCTGGGAAGTCGGTGTCGACGTGGCGACTGGCCGTGTTGTCGGCCTTTTCTGAGCTCAACGCTCAGGTTCCAGCCATCATGATCACTCTTTCACGCTGCATTTTTCTCTTGCTTTTGGACAGGTGTGGTAAAAGGGTGCCTTCAACAGGTCTAATTGGTCGTTCAACCGCATTGTACTGTATACCATTCAACAGCTATACGATAGATATAGATCACACTAGTAAAATAGTATGGCATTTGAGCATCAACCGCTCCGACTCTCACGGGGTGTTGCATCTAGAGGCCGTAAGCCTGGTTTCCCCCAATGCCCACAATCGGGACAGTTTGGCGGAGGATACTATCTGTGACAATCGCCTTCCGCTCTGCACCAGAGCGTGTACTGTACCGATCTGTGAAGATGTAATTGTAACGTGTAACGCGACCCATTTTTCACCTACCCAAATGAAACATGTAACGCTGAGAAAAGACCTTATTACAAGCTGACCGTGGTTAAGAGCTTAATTAGGACCGGATTAATGTCGGTTCCGCCGTTTCCATAAGTCAAAGTTGAAAAACGTAACACCCAGTGGGCCTTATTATTTACAACCTGGCCCTTCAAAGATGCTTCCGCTCAAGGGGATATGCTCGGAGCTATTTTTCAACTTCACAGATCGGTACAGTAGCCTTCAAATACTCCCCCCTTTTACTCCCGTTGCCCTGTCAATGATTCCGTTTGAGGTGTTTGCTTTGACATTATTGACTCCTTTGTTGAGGTTTGCTCCCGATGAAACATCTGCTTCCGCGATAATATTTGCGTCCGCTACACCATTTGCTTCCCCTTTCTGTTTGCCTCCGCCTTTTCATTTGCTTCCGGCATTGCTCTTGCCTCCGGGTATAGGTTTTGTTTCCGTAATCTAGCTTACTTCCATGTGGTTTCCTTTCGTTGTGAATATTTGCTTCCGCTTTACCTATTCATTCCGTTTGCTAGCTTACTTCCACTTACACTTTCCTTCCGCATTCTTCTGTGCTTCCGGGGACCACTTTTAATTCCACGTCAAACGTACTTCGGCTGAAACCTTTGACTCCGCTTACTTCCGCGTGGGCGTTTACTTCCGCCCCTACATTTGCATCCGCTGCATCATTTATCTCCGCGACTGTATTTTCTTCCGCTCGGTGGTTTGTTTCCGGTGGAAGAATTGCTTCCGGTAGCAGATTTGTTTCCGCTGGTGTATATACCTCCGCTCAGCCATTTGCTTCCGCTTCGCCAATAGCTTCCGCTCCATGGTATGCTTCCGGTAGCGTTCCGCTGCCCGGTCAGGGTCCTAGGTCTATCTCGCGCGCCTTCGCTTCGCTTGGTGGCGTCGCTTGACGCGGACCTCTGGACCCTGATTTGGAGGTAGTTAGCTGGTAGTACAATGGGTGGCGCGGCGACTGGACCTTGTCAGGACAGTACTCGCCGCTATAGGTCAACAGCTTAGATCTAGGCCACAAGAGTTTGAGGTTTCCGTAGCACAGTGGTAGTGCATCGTACTTATGGGTAACCACAAATTGGCATGCGAGGGTCACGAGTTCAATCCTCGTCGGAAACAGGCTTAGCTTTAAGCTACCTTTTGAGGTGTTTGAATACAAGAAAAAGCGATCGATTCCCATCGTAGAGTGTTGAGATAGTTGGAATTGAGGTGGTTGCTGCCGCGATTTGCTTCCGCGGCTCTGAGTATCTGCGGTGTTTTGCACTTGTCCTTTGCTTCTAGGTGTTTCCCATTCGCAGGTATACCTCCTGGAGATCCGTTGTTGTCTTCATGAACGAGGTACTGTGTGATACAGACACCACCTCCAACGACGTGGCTTTACAGAGTCATCTAATGTTGTTGGGGTCAGGGAGAATCGCGTTGCCGCAGGACGCCACTACGGAAACCGCTGAGCAGGGGAGATACTTTTTGACTTCCTGTAGCGCAGTGGATGCACCCTGCAAGTCCAGACTTTCTTGGCCATGTTTCTCCCCTGAGCGGTTTCTTGCTCAGCGGTTTCCGTAGTGGCGTCCCGCGGCAACGCGATTCTCCCTGACCCCAACAACATTAGATGACTCTGTAAAGCCAGGTCGTTGAATGTGTCTGTATCACACAGTACTTCATTCATCAAGACAACAACGGATCTCCAGGATGTATACCTGCGAATGGGAAAAACCTAGAAGCAAAGGAAGAAGTCCCAAACGCCGTGGGATACGTGAGGTATTTCGCCCTTCTCGGGGGCATCCGTGGACCTCTCTCGTGCGAAGTCTGTTGGAGTGGTTATCTAGAAACACCGTGTTATGCATAGCAAATGGCTACAGATACAATTATGCGACCTGGCGGACAAAAGATAAGGTACCAAGACTGGAGGTTATTAACTCCAACACCCGCTCGCTCTCTCGCTTCTCGACTTCCGCCAACTTCTGGAGTGGTGAGGTCATCTCCTCGTTGGCGATCAAAACATCACCATGTATTCGCAGGAAAACGTTGACGAATGTCTGAACCGCTTCAAAATCGCGATGGGTCGATAACCGCTGTGTTAGTGCAAGGATGAATAACGACAAATGCTTCATGGAAACGAGTGATCGTAGCTCAAGGTCGATCGCCGCCGGTGAAAGTGACTTGACGTAGTTGAAGAATCCTTCATATTCTCCATCCTTCTGTTCTTCTTCCAAGCGTCTGACAAACTCGCTCTCCACGGCGGTTACAAGACCAGAAGTAAGCCGTCTCTTCCCTCGGGTCGTCTCCGGTGCCTGCTCGTCAAGGGCGAATCGCTGTTCGGTTCCCGGCAGAGTCGGAAGAAAGAACGGCGCCTTCTCGGGAGGCTTGGGAGGCTCCTTTGGCTTGTTCCTTTGCTGAATGATGTCCAGGTTGAGCAACGTCTGCCATCTCGACCGTGGCAGGAGAGTCAACGTCACGAGTCCATCCGCCAATTGTTGTGGAGTCGCGTATATATCTGACGGCGGAAGAACATCGCCTTCAAGGGCCTCGAGAGCTTCAGCCTCGTCCACGCCCTGCATTGACGGAAGATCGAGCTCGATTACGTCATTTTCGTCCAGAGTCTTTGTAACCACCTCCGTGAATTGGGCCCGGTTCGTCCTGGGAAAGATTGGCAAGTCGCCAGATATAGACATGCTGTTGCTCACCAGAGATACACGCCAACACTGTCAACATGTGATGTGGCAAGGAAATCGGCGGTAGGAGAGAATGACAAGCTTGTTGCAATGCTGCTGACTCTGAACGCATCGATGAGGCGTCCAGAGGGTATATCAAACGTGCGAATGATGGAATCGAGTGACGTGGTTATGAGCCATCTTGAATCAGGAGAGAACGCCTAATTGTTCGACATGAGCGAGAACATCGCATCTGCGCACCGTGGTACTCACCAAATCTAACACTTTGCCGCGGAAGCCTCTCAGCTCACGAACAGTCCGCTGGGTCTCAATGTCGACGACTCGAACAGTGAGATCATCACAGTTGACCGCCAGTAGGTTGTTGCCTCGATGCAGCACGACCGCTGCAGCACCACTGGGAAGGGTAACTATCCGCTGAGGTTCGGTGGTATGGAAGTCAAAGAACTGAAGGGAGATGAGTTTCGCGCAGGGAAAGGTAAGAAACGGGCAAACATGGAGAGTTCCGGCAGCGGTCGAGACGACCACCACACGATTCAGCGCGTCCGTGGCAACACCAGTCACGATCCGCTCAGAGCTTTTGAGTTTCCTCTTCTTCTCGCCTTTGACGGGTTTGGTCAGGTCGAAGGTCTTTCGCAGGATCCCACTTTGCAGGTTCCACATCCCCACGCCGCCCTCCTCTGTCCCAGCCAACCCGAAATTGCCACATGCGCTCACACACACCGCCCTTATCCCACTAACGCTCGGCCCACTCCCTTTGCTTCCCGTGCCGAAGTTGAACTTTCCCATTCGCTTCTCCAATAGCCACCAGCTTCGAGCACCCGCTTCGCCATGCCCCGTCAGGACATCATCCCAATCCTTCGCTCGCGTCTCAGAGAAGCTCATGGCGATAGCAGGGGGGAGCTTCAGCTCGTCGGCAGATATGTGCATGGCTGATGCCTTCTTTTCAATCGATCCTTGCGACAATTCGAAGCTGCGAGAGTCACGGACCACTGAGATACACCGCAGGGAGCGATCCGCCGAGGCAGTGAGGATGTTCTTGCCGTCGTGGCCGTAGTACCGAATGAGATGGGGTGCACGACTGTGCCCGCTACGACCTTTGAGATATCGAGGAGGGACCAGAGGAGAATCGAAGATCCATTGCTGATGAGATACAGTCAGCGTTTGAGCAGAAACTGTATCATACGACCTTACCTTCACGCTGTTGTCCTCCCCCGCACTCAGGAGGAGAGGCTGACCAGGCACAAAGTACAGTGAGGTCACACCAGCCCCATGCGCCGTTCGGGACAAGTGTACAAGACGTGCAGACTTAGATAAGTCCCAAGTTGCAATCTGGCCGGTTGATGAGGCGGTAGCCAGAATTGGCTCCCCGTCTAACGACATCTTAGGTTAGACCCTTCTACCAGTTCCAATACATCGGTCCTAACGCACCAGTTCGGAACGCCATGGCACGGATCGACCCGCTCGCCATGCTCAACTTCATAATGGCTTCATCTGACCGTATGTTATATATGACTGCCTGTCCAGATGCAAAGCCAACTGCAATGACATCGACTGCGGGTGACTGAACCATGCAGGTCACGGCCGCAGGGGTTGCCGCCGCTGCTTGAGAGAACCGAGTGGCTGCGAAGGTGAATAGCAACGTCCTTGAAACCAATCAGCATAGAATGCGGCAACTGTCAGCTAGGTGCCAACCGCGTGCGGATGTTCCACAATTGTAGGGAGCCTTGGGAAGAGCCAACGAGGACCTTGTTCAAGTACGTGGCGGGATGGAACAGGTGGGTCGCCGTGAAGTCGGGCGGGAAATCAACGGTGGTATACAGCTCTGTGACGATGTCAATGCATGGCAGTCCTTGAGTCGACTGAGAACTTACCGTTGGCAGGGGTGTGCCATATGAAGAGTTTCGTCCCATCCTCAGAGAGCGCAAGGATCTGCGATCCAAAGCAGAGAATCTGAGAAAGGCTGACTTCCCCCGGGCTTGTAATCCGAGAGACCTACAGCACATCAGCATATATAGATGAAAGAGTGTCCCATGAAGCTTACTTCTTTGCCACGATGATACTTGATGAGATGCGGCCCGGCGGCTGCCCAGATGTAATCGCCATCCGCCGCATCAAACGCGAGAGCGCTGATGGGCCTCTCGGCCTCCGTCCCCACGAACAGCAGCCTCATCCTCCCCCCTTCCCATAGCAGCCAGCTCTGACCGATACAAGTGAGGATATGCATTTGAGGCCCTTCGGTCGAGCCCTTGTACGAGCGCATTTGGATGGCCAAGGGGACATGGTTCGTGACGAGACCGAGGGCGCGAAACGGCGCAAAGATGCTCGGCCGTGGACGCGGCTTGCTGGAGGGAGTGGCAGTGGTCTTCGCCCTCTTCGCCGGTGGCGACAACGGGTCGTCGACGTCCATGCTTGCGGACTCGACGAGGCAGAGAGTTCTCGGTGAAGGTGCCTCACTACTCTGTTCTGCAATAGGGCTCGCCCAAATTTCGACTCTGACGAGCCGGAAGCTTTTCATATGGACTATCCTCGGCTCCGAAGGCCCTAATCACCTCTATGTGCGCGTGAAGGTCACCCATGTTCGCATGCATGTGACCCACATTCGCGTACTAATAAGCGCTCCAGGTTCGCATATAGGTGATTCAGGCTCGCGTATAAGTGACCCAATGCGGTCAACGCGCTGTACGGACCGCAGAGGCACATCCAGTCCGCCCCGGTGACTGAAGCGCTTTCCCCCCTGTGCTCGCCCTCCCGGAATGCCTCCGTCCCTCGTCGCCCCCAATATTGCTCGACCCAGATGCTACGAATGCAACGGCTACTGGTATTACGCCCAAATATAGACGCGATGCGAGTAGGACGCTTCGACGGGCCCAGCTCATATCGTTTTCCCCTGTGCCCCGCCCATTGAGACAAACCTCTCGTCCGCCTCATATCAATATGGGTCGATGCCACCAGAGCGCGTTATAGGTAATCCTCTCACCATCAGCGCGACAAAGCGTCAAACATGCCCCGACGATAAGCCACGCTCAGAAGGCATCCGGAGCGATAGCGATCTGATGGAAGAAGAAGAACATCCAGGTGCGAAGGGAGTCGCTGGCAAGGGCGCGAGGGTTGATGAGAAAGGGTGCGATGCTTCTCCGCGAGAATCAGCAAGATGCTGTCCATCAACGCTGGTCAGATGGCGGTTCCAGAACAAGGGCAACGCCCGACACCCAGATATCAAGCTCACAGTTTAGCCATTACTAGAAATACAAAGGGGATGAGGTGATTGCGTATCTTTCATGTGGGTTCACTATGTTCCGCAAGGTCCGTACCGGGAGGTGCGGTGATTGGTCCAGCGCAGCAAGTGGTCTAAATTGCAATGCATTCAAACGGTGGCGCGCGCGGCCGAGCGGACATAGTGAATGGATTGAATGAGGGTATCACGAGTGGCCGAAGTCATTTACAAAA